GCGTGTTAGAAGTGGACTTGAAACTTTGCAGGTCTAGAGAAAAGCAGAGTTAACCCACGAGGAAACCAAATTTGAAGTTCACTGTGGTCATCACTTGTAATTTTTGCCCCTAGGCACTTATCCACATTTCTCTCAAAACTTACCGACTTTATGTCCTTTCAAATTTACTTCCTTCATCTGGGGTGTGCGATAGACTTACCTCCNTTTGAAGTCTAAAGTCAACTGCCAGTTTATAGACTTTTTTGCCGTATGAGCATACGTTGCCCAGGGTGCACCACGTGGGGTGAGTCTATCGCACACCCCTCTCATCGTAAAAATGAATTATCTTCCACGAGTGTATTGGTTAAAGTCAAGAAATGGTAGAAAGTATATGAAGTTGGCATAATTGAATATTGCGACTATATGGCATTGTATCTCTAAGGCTCTATTATGCCCTCAAGGGAATGTGTTTGAAAACAATGTTGTTTTAATGTTACTACTGCATTTCCTGCTTCGTTTCGTCCTTAATTGCATTTCATTTTATATCTTTCCTTATAATTATAACTAATGACATGATAAACGGTCTTTCCATGGGGTGTGCGATAGACTTACCTCCACGTGGTGCACCCTGGGCAACGTATACTCATACGGCAAAAAGTCTATTAACCGCCAGTTGGCATCTGACTTCTAACTACCATAACCCCACTGGATGCCATATTNCTCAAGCGTGTTAGAAGTGGACTTGAAACTTTGCAGGTCTAGAGAAAAGCAGAGTTAACCCACGAGGAAACCAAATTTGAAGTTCACTGTGGTCATCACTTGTAATTTTTGCCCCTAGGCACTTATCCACATTTCTCTCAAAACTTACCGACTTTATGTCCTTTCAAATTTACTTCCTTCATCTGGGGTGTGCGATAGACTTACCTCCACGTGGTACACCCTGGGCAACGTATACTCATACGGCAAAAATGACTATCAATCGGTAGTTAGCTTTTAACTTCAAACTACCATCATCCCACTGTATGTCATATTCGGCAACTTCCATAGTACTCACCTCACCTTTTTTCTGCCTTTGTGTCTGTCTCTTTTGCATTTTTGAAACACTCTTCTATCCCCCCATCCTCTCGAATTTCTGTTACTTTGATGTTCCTTCCCCTCTGTGAAACCTGAAGTCAACTAAAGGTCTAATGATAACTATCAAAACGCCTGCCATTTGATATAAATAAATATATAAACTTCCTTCATCTATATGATGGGCTTTAGTGAATGCCCAATTATACCCTACATTCCCTTTGGCATAGTGTACAGTTTTAGGGCTCCTATAAATGGAGAAACAAGTCATAAATAGTTCAATTTTTCAAATTGGAAGTGAGGCTGCTAGGCATAAGATCCGGGGAATCATGAGAGCTTCAATTCGTAGGAGCCCTTTCGAGATCAGGTGGCGGAAGTCGTCGTAGCTGGAGTGGAAGGGACATTTGATAGGTATTACCTGTTTTGGCATTGGAACGACTTATCCTTTAACTCTTGACACATGGATATCATTTGCGGAATAAATTGAGAGGGAAAACTAATTGAACTATAAAAAGTAGCAAAGAATCTGGTACTCTTGATCTTCCTGAAATGAAAATGTTGTAGATAATACACTAATCATATGTTCATGAATATCCTCTAGACTTTTAACTTAGATTTAAAAAGCTTAGGTTGCTCTCAACTATGTTGTCATTCTCGGCAAATCATCACTTCAAAGGCTGGATGTTACCATACCTCCATATGTAACGTCAACAATACCTGGTGAAACTTCATCAGGACAATTGGATAGGGCTTCCAGAAGCACAAAATCTAAATGTGGAGTGTTTTTTTAGTAAAGTATAATGTAACCTACGACTAGGCGATCTAGTGATTGCTCAGAATTTCGCCCCCCCCCCAAAAAAAAACCCAAACTGAGCAATCAGAGGTAAGAACTTTACATGTTCATTTCAAATTAGTATTTATTTCATTTCATTTCATTCACGCATTAGAAGAATTACACAGATAGAGGTAGAAACACGAGAGAATGCCTTGGTAAAACACAAAGAGAAATATTCAGCATGAGAAATAGGCAGTAACAGGCGAGTGAGAGACATTTTAAGATTACTAAAATTCAGAATGAAATAAAGAGAAAGGAGGGGGGGGGGGACAAAACTTAACGGATACAGAGGAAAGGGAACACATCGACATGCTCGCAAAAAAACACGCGGCGCCATCAAAACACAATCCACGGTATCACCAGGCCAATCGCCAGATTTGAGTTTCAAGCAATCAATCGATTGATTGCAAGTACGAAGCGCAGATACCAAAGTGATAAAGTGCAAGTAGTTAAAATAGTTGCATTAGATGAGAATGAGAAAAGTCAGTTCGTCAAACAATTAGAGAGGGAGAAAGAGAGGAAATTATTACAAACACCTGATTCTATTTACAACAAGTCGAGGATGGATGCCTTTAGGGAAGAAGACTGTAGAGCAGTAGTAGCCATAAACGGAAAGAAGGAATTTAGAAATCATCCTCCTCGTCATCCTCACCGTTCTCCCCACTGTCATCTTCACGATCTTCTTCCTTCAGCTTATTCGTCGCCTTGTCCGAATTGAGGTCTGTGAACATGAATGTCTCAGCTGCCATTTGAATTGCCCACATAAACTTTTCTCGCTGAGTCTTGTTGTACACCTTCTCGATAGGAATGTCGTACTTTTTGCACCTGGTAAAACCGTACAAAAGCATTGAGAGATAAGTCAAACCGGCTGTATGGTGATGCACTAGTTGTGCATTCAGCACACATGAATCAACACACAGATTCACATGCACATAATATGTTAAGTAAAAAACAAGCACAAATCACTTACCAAGCAACTGTGATTCGAGGATCCAGATAGTTCAGCTTACTAGTACTCAAAGCAATCGTCTTATTCTCATCTCTGTCTGTTGCTTGAACTTGAAGTCTTGTCAGCTGATCTTTCAGTGTGCCCAGACGTTTCTTTAGCTTCTCATACTGAACCTTCTTAGCTGTGCTCTTGGACTTCGAGTAATCGGCCTTGATTTGTCTGGCTTCTGTCATTACTGCATTGATTTGCTCTTTTTTGGCATCAATCTACAAGACAAGGTGTGTAATTAGATAGTCTCAGAGATTGAATAAGTACAATGTTAGCACAGTACCTTCTTTTGAAGATTCTCCATAGAGGTTGAGAATGACTTGGGTACAGCACGTTGATGGTTACAGAGAATGGCAACGGCTCGATTTGCACGATTGTAAGAGAGGAGTTTCTGAGCTGGACCTTCCTTTGGATCAGTGAGTTCCATTAACTGTTCTTCAAGGGTTCGACTAGCGTTGTATGTACGAAAGACCTTTGCCGTTAGGCCATCCATTAGTTCACGCAAGTACTGATTAAGAGTTGTTGTGTTGAGTCTATCGAATAGATCATCGCTGCCCTGTTTATTCTTCATGAAAATTTTCAGATTCTTGAAAACACGCTTGGGAACAGCAACAGAGTTTTGGTAGCGGATTGAATCTTTACCGAGGAAATCGAATTCAACAACGTATTGTTGGTCGCCAAATTGGTCGTGAAGTTTGATGTGTTCACAACGGAGAGAACAGCAACCAACAGTATCTGCCTCGTCTTCATCTTTCTCGTTACCGGCACGAAGTGCCAACTAAAGAAACAAACAAACAGAATAGCTTAGAAGAATTTCTGGAGGTAACAAGTATGAGAAGGTATATGCACTTTGATGCCAATTTACCACTAACTAGTTGACGAGTATGTGCAGTTTTGAATAACATGTCGAAAAGAAATAGTAATGAGAAAAAAACCAGCAATATGCACGGAAATAACCGCAAGTCTGAGGAAAGCAGGCAAATAATTTTACTCAATCCACAGGTATTGTTAAAATATATGCCGTTCTGGAAAGCTCTACATAGACAATGTCCCACATGAATTAGTTTACAGACGTACAAATCTTATGATTAATAAGAGAACGTTTGTAAGCATATTTAAAAAGCGCCAAATTAAACAAAAAAGGATTGTCGTTTTGATAATTAACAGTCGAGTGAATACAATCAGAACACAACACCCCACATAAGAGGAATAGAATACGACAAGAACACAAACTATTAGCAGTAAAAAATGTTAGTTTTAGACTAATACTGATCAACATAAATTTATAAAGTATCAGAAAATAAGTGCTTCGCCTCCCCTACCTTCCAATCAACTAAGAAAACGTATCTTACACTTGAACCTATTTACAGACAAATCTTAATGATGTGTGATTACGTAACAACATGCATTTAAGGACTTAAGAAATTAGCCACAAAAATGGAATCAGCCCATGTTCAAGACTGCCAATTTAGCAAAAAATACCTTACCTTGTCGATGAAATAGAGGGCCACGGCACGCTGGCGAATACGCATCTCTTTCGACTTGAAATCTCTCCGATAATCGGCTCGGATTTTGTCGACACAACTGTGCAGCTTTCGTGCCACTTCATACTTCTTCCAATCCTTCTCACCTTTAAGTCGAGAGGAGGCATTCAACATGACATACTTGAAGTTATTCTGAACATTCTCCACCCAGCAGGCCAACCAAGTGACCGTGTTGTCATGACGAACTTCTTTCCACTTATGACCCGGAGGTGGGGCGGGGACTTGAGCATCTTTAGAGCAATTAATGATGATATCTTCAGGCATAATTCTCTTCTTCAAGCTGCCTGTTTTGGGGTGGTTACCTCGACCACGAAATAGTCCAGGAGGTTCAATGCGGAAATTGGCAATGCGCTGTTTATGTCCATCGAGAGTGCAGAATCCATACTTTTCAACAATTCGCTGATTTTCTTCCTTAATCTTCTGTTTCTCCTCTTTGGACATAGCCTTTTTCTCTTCGGCTTTTCGTTTAAAGTATTCAGCCATGTACGTAAAATCACATTTGGACAACTTTCGAATAGTTTGCTTTTCCTCGGCTGTCATTACTTTTTGCCAATCCTTAAAGAAATTGTTATTGAAAATTTCCATTTTTGTGTAATCGTGATCAAGCATTCTAGCGTAGAAACCTGCAACTTCCTCGGCAGGTTCAGACAGTTTCATTCTTTGCCCATCATAGAGGAATGCAACATCTTCAGGCAAAGGTTCATAGGGAGGAGCAAACATTGGACCATTATGCTCAAGGAAACGCCATTTGTATTTGCCATCCGTGTTCTTTTCCTCCCACCACTTCCATACCGTTTCACTCTCCTCTTCTTTCGGTTTCTTTTTTGGTGTTGAGCTTGAAGATTTGGTCTTGAGATTGTTCTTTGCTGGGCTCTTTTCAGGCTTGATCTTAATTTCACTGAACGATCGTTCTAATTTGGGTCGCTTTTCTGGTTGGTAGGGTGAAGAATCCTCAAGCTTAATTTTTCGCGAACCCTGAAGCTTTGCAGCTAAAGGAACGTCGTCGTCATCATCACTTGATGAATAGGGACGCTTTAAGCTAAACCGGGAGGCAAGAGGGACATCATCATCTTCACTCTTAATGTCATGAGAATTTCCGTTATTCATATTAGAAATTGCCATGTACGACCACGAACTAAAATAATGTAATTATAATGAAAACATCGTACACTACAAGAAGCAGAGAATCAGAGAGACACGACCAACCAACCGGCAGTGACCAAAATATACAAATGCAACCGTGAGCATTGAATACATTCAAACGATTGTAAGTCGAATAAAGAATATCTTAACTTTTGGACTTTTGCCGTTATTAAACGATAGAATAAAATTTCACATTCATTATATTTATTCTAAGCAACATTTACTTGATGTATGATTTTATTTATGAAAACATTTGTCGTCTAGATAGCACATTATATTGGCCTCTAATTAGAATGCTCTAGTAAAATTAAATCGGAGTATTGAAAATTCATTTTTAAATAAAAATATAATTTTCGTGACTTTTTCAAAGTAATTAAATAAGTTAAAAAATGCTTTTGATAGATCGACTAGTGGTAATAATGTTTTCATTTGCACTCCACTTGAATAAATATAATCACTCAAAAATTCGAACCCGCCTGTTTTGATAACAATTATTATTATTATTATTTCAAATGGCAGGCTTTATGATATTTATCATTAGCCCTTAATCTTTGACTTCAGCTTCCCCCCAAGAGAGGGGGGGAGGTACATTTATAGCAGTTAATTAATAGCAGTTCATTAGCTGCCTACTTGCTTCCCAGTATCTTTGGCTTCCCGTCCTTGTCTTTAGGGCTGGACACCGAATCAGGTGGGTCTTCTCCATTTCCTCCTGTAGGTTACATAGAGGGCATGTGGGTTGAGTGTATACTCCCAATCTGTGAAGGTTTTTTGCCAAGCAATCGTGTCCGGTACGTAGTCTAAACTCAGCAACGGCTTCGATTCTTGGCCAGTCGGGTATGTCGGAGAGTGCCACTGTTTCTCCTTTGTTCGAGCTTTGAGTCCGTNGTACGGCAAAAAGTCTATTAACCGCCAGTTGGCATCTGACTTCTAACTACCATAACCCCACTGGATGCCATATTCTACCACTTCCACAGTAATCATCCTACCTTTTCTCTGCCTCTGTGTCTGTCTCTTTTACAACTGTAAACCACTCTTCTGTTCCACATCCCTCGACTTTCGATTACTTTGATGTTCCTTCCCCCTGTGAAGCCCGAAGTCAGCTTAAGGGCTAATGATAACTATCAAAACGCCTGCCATTTGAAATAAATAAATAATTATAACTAATGACATGATAGACGGTCTTTCCATGGCAACGTAAACGTTGAATAAAATTTGAAAATGATGTTAGAAAAGTTCTCCTTCATTTGCATTTCACTGTTCATTTTATGCGCGTTTTGTTTAAAGTGCATAATCTACTGTGTGCCTTCTTATTCTCTCAATGTTCATCATCCGACACGTGGATTTGTTAGTGAGGTCCTTCCCCTAAGCTTTTAAATTAAATAATCGGATCATCACGCGGTATCTGGCAGCCAAAAAAATTTATTTACCCCCCCCCCCCCCCCCCCCCCCCCCCCCGCCCCTCCCGCCTTCCTTATACGTTCATTGGATGAGCCCCTCCCAACTCGATGGTTTTTCACTGATTTTTTGGAAGAAATGCTTCTTTGGCATTAAGTCCGCTTCACGGCTCGAAGCTCTTTACTAGAAGTGTATAAGCGTTTCTCGTTGTCACAGTACACTATTGCTTGTGTTACTTAATAGGCACGCCGATTCATTTCATTTACCTAGCTGATGTCTTAGCCAAGAAGAAGAAGGAAATTTACCAATTCTCATTAAATCGAAAATTTATTTACACTTCAGTAATCCCTAATCAATTGCTATAGTTAAGCGTTATTCAATAAAGTGGAAAGAAAACTTAATTTATGGTTTCGATTTTGTCACGTGTGGTGGAGATATTGTAGCATTTTTCCCACTTGTAGCTTCTCCTTGGCATGATGGCTGTATTAGAAGTTTCACTCAATCTATCATCCCCTCCTAATTGTAAAAGTTTTGGTGGCCGCATATTAGAACTATCGAGAACGCTTCAGGGAGAGGGAGAGAGAGAGAGAGTAATGGTATACTATATCAACTGCAACTGCGTAGATAGAGAAGTCATTATAGTCAAAACAAATTGGTCATGTCCGGCACTGGTGTTGCCCACTTGCCTTAGTAACTTTCGTGATGTTGAATGAGCATTATAATGAATGCGAAGTGATTGGCAGTATTTTGTGACCTTTCAAATTTTTGGTTCTAGCTCCTTCCGGAAGGTGGTCGAATTGTTCCTAAAGCCTATCAGACGTGGTTGAAGACTTCTAACAAGACGCTGGAGGAATTCAAAATGCTGGATCGCATTGTTTACGTGGGACCGCGATATGATATTTTTGGATTTGGTGGATTTGTAGTCGGTATCTATCCGATCCTAGGCGAGGAGACCATCGAAGTTATGTTCGATTTGACATTTGACGGGGCCGTATCAACCAGGTATGGATGCAGAGTTGGGAGTTTCTAAAGTACTTAAATGTTTATGGCAAGCAGTACAGTTGTCATGAGGTTTTCTCTTCTGTATTTTTTTTATTCAGAGGATCCTCACCACGTTGTATGGTGGTGCCTGCTGCTCATCTACTACATTATCCTTATTCTGGTTCCAAGGCCAAGTCGAATGTCATCACCGCCAATAAATCAAGCAAGATGGAGAAACCAAATTATGAGAATGGAGCAAGCTCATCACAGCATCCAGCATCCTTCGATAAGCAGAAAGAGAAGTCAGCACCCACAGCGATACCTCCGGCGAAAGGGTACGTATCTGCAGTCAATTCCATAATAAATGAGAAGGCAAAGCAAGCTGAAAAACTCCCGACAAGGAAGCAGCCCTCACCATTGAAACAAAACGCACCATCCACTGAACCACAGCACCCTGATGCTAATACTACTAGGAATGCTTTCATCCCCTCTCAAGTAAGGCGGTTGAAAGCGGGGAAAACGGTAAGTATGTTAGGAGTCTCTTTTGTCACGCCTTCTGAATCACTATGCTTTCTTTGAAGGAAACGAAAGATGTAAAGTGTGTTTAGTATTTATTTATTTCGAATGACAGGCATTTTGATAGTTGTCATTAGCCTTCAGCTGACTTCGAACTTCACAGAGGGGAAAAACATCAAAGTTCAAGAGGATGGACTGAAGTGTGATTCACAGATGTGAAAGAGACAGACAGACAAAAGCAGAGTAAAGGCTAGATGAGTACTGCGGAAGGGGTCGAATATGGCATAGAGTGAGGTGATGGTAGTTTGAAGTGAGAAGTCAACTGCCGATTAATAGACTTTTTTGCCGTATGAATATACGTTGCCTAGGGTGCACCACGTGGAGGTAAGTCTATCGCACATCCCGTGTGTTAAGTATAAGCGAATGCGATTGGACACAAAGGCACTGCCACTCAAACCACTTTCCTAGAGGATTGTCAATTCCATACAAGAGTGAAG